TGGAGGAGAAGGGATTGCAGCGTGGCTATCCCCCCTGGGGGGTGATTTCTTGCTTTCTATCTCTCTGTCTGGCGAGCACACGCGCCCTAAAAGCAAAAAGCCTCTCCAAAAAAAGAAAACAAACAAACAAACAAACAAAAAGTCCATCACATCAGAAATGGCCACTAATTTAGATCTGTTGGTCATTTCACAAACTGAGTGGTCAGGCCCTACAGAAAGCAGCTGTGAAGACTGCCAGTAGTTAAGCAAGTTCAAATCCAGAGCCACAGATGGCAGCTACCTTCATTGTTTAACTTTCTTGAATACTCACCCTTGTAAGTGGATCATCTGCATTCTTGCTGTCCTCTAGATCCCTGAGCTTTATGTCTTTTAGGACAGTTTATAGCCGTCATGTGAATCCTAACACTTTATAATCCTCACAAGGGGCCAGACCCTTCAGTAGTCTCTTACATGTATTACCTCTTTGGCAATCAATGTCTAAGATGCACATTTGCATGACTTTGCAGTTCTTTGACATGCCAGATCATGTGACTTAAGTTAAAAGTTTGCTTTAGAGTTCCTGACCAATGGATTTGGGATTTCTGTTTATCACTCTGCCTTTGCTGAGAATCTAGTGATGCTGTTAATCTGTTGGGTTGTCAGAAAAGTCATGACATATTGTTTCTATGCAAAAATGTGTCATGACTTTTCCAACAATCCAATAGTAGTGATTTTTTTTTTTTAGCTAGAATCTAGTGAAGCTGCAGCACTGATGTTTTATCCACTCCAGTCCCCTAGATTAAGCCTATTCCCTGACCCATGAAGGACCTCTATGATACTCCATCCACCGTGTATCCGGAAGGACCTCTTGTTAGCCCAATCTTGCCTGTCCTGAAGGAGCAGAAGCTGAAATACCTAAGCATATGTCCTTTCCCCCTCCACCATCATCTTAGTACTAAAGTCAGAGACCCTGGATGGCATCCTGGGCAAGTCACTGTTATTCACGGTAGGGTGTCAGGTATATGACTTAAGAAAATTGAGGTTCAGAAAAGTTATCTGAAGAGATGTCGATAGTGAAAGTGCAGGGTTATTTGGGGATTAAGTGAGATTATATGGGCCACAGAGCACTTTTTATCTGTTATGTAATGATTTTCAGCTGTCATGTGTATCCTACCATTTAAAAAAGCTTCCAGTGGGCCAGGCTCTGACATGTATTATCTCTTTACATAAATTCTCAGGCTGACCTCATGAAGCAGGGACTGGCTTTGGCCCCTCAAAATCTCTGACTTTTTGTAAAATGAATTGGTACCTTGTCCAAGATTTAGTAATGCAGTATCTGAGGTGAGTTAACACAGGGCTATCAGAGGATGAATCTCATGTGGTAGATTTGTAGGTGTCATGGAACTCAACAGAGACAATTTTGGATGGGGATCTGACTGATATTCTTCAAATCATGCTGTGCGAGCAACCACCTCCCTGCTTCAAGAAGGAAACACCTTACTCTCAGTCCTAAAGCATTTTCAATTATATCTCCAGTAATTGAGGATACAATCAATTCTACTTCTCTTCTCTCTGCAGTAATATTCTGCCTCTGGAATTTTCCACAGTCCTGAAAATATCCTGGATAGTAAAGTTTCCCCATTCGCTGTCCATTCCTCATGCTCCTGCAGGGCCTTGGGCACTTCCTCAGACACAGGCTGGCGGAAGCAGGTCTTCTGATGCTGATGCAGAGCTAGAGAGGCTGCGTCTCCCCATCCATCAATTCTAGCTGCAGTCAAACATTTTCAATATGTGGGCTCCTTGATAACTTTCACTGTATGGAAAACAAAATGGAGGGAAATGATTATTGGCACAAAAGGGGGAGGTCGTAAATCTTCAAATCAGATACAGGACAGATTGGAACAATATGGGTTCTCCAAGGTTGCCATGATAATGTACCTAATAACTCTCCTTGGGCAAAAAGGCAATCTGCTTTCAATCAATCTCGCTTTTACTGAGCAAAAATACCAATTATGTTGAGGGAAGATTTTTTTTCTTTCTTTTTGATAAAGACTGCTCTCCACCCCAGAAATCATGCTGTAGCTAAAAGATATATATTTTCAATTGTCTAGAATGGTATTGGACAGCTAGCACCAAATGAAAAAAGTCAATCCTTTTTTTTTTCTTTCCTCTCCTGCCAGCATTTGTCTACTTCTTAAGAGAAGTGAAAGCTAATTAAAGGCTTAAGGGATAATATTGATTGCATTGGAATATATTTTATATGTACCCAGCACATTTTCAAGTAAGAGAACCCTGACTTTATCTGAGGTTGAATAAATCAGCTGGCAGAGCCTTTGATTCAAGGGTGAAAGGAGGGGAGCTCATCTCCCCTTCCACTTCTCACACATCTTTCCTAGGGATGAATGATTTCAGAAGAGAAAGAGGGGAGGATGGCAGATGTTCATTCAGTTCTTTGCATTCAGGATAGGAAGGATGAATGTTCAGACATTCCCCCAGACCCATCATTGATTTGAATCCAGCTTTGAATAATAACCAGGCTTATGGTGGTATAGAACTTTGAACTCTACAATGCCTTGTGCAGGAGGCTGACTGAGTGGTATTAACCTCCTGGCTTCCTTGTACGTTGAATGGGAATAAATTGCTTGCCCAGGATCATGCACATCCTTGTAACAGAGCAGGGCATCAAATCTAGCTTACTTTCATATCTAGGAACAGCCCCAACCATGCATTTGTCCTGTGGGGATAGCCATAGGTTGGGTTTATGTTAGCCTTAATCTTGGAGGTCTGTGAACAAAAAGCATTAGGATGGCAACAAGCCCCCCATCGTTATCTGTGATGAGCTCAGGTCACGAGGGAATCCAGTTCCTTGATCACTGTGAACCCACTTGACAAATTTAAGATCAGAAATCTTATTTAGAGCATGCAAATCCATTTGCAGCCTCTATTGTTCACATAAATGCACAGGTGCCCCAATAAGTATTTTAAGATGTGATGAAAATGGATATAATCTCAGTGCTCAATGTATATTGTATATTCTGATATACTATGTGTTTCAGAACCCTATAGTTAAGGGGGTGTTAATCACATAGGCTTTGGACATAAAATTTGGGTGGGGAACCGAGAGATCTCTTCATCCTAGTGGTAATGGCTAGAGAGCAAAGTGATCGTGTTGAGAGGTCTCTTCTGCAGTAGCCCATTGGCTCTTCCCTTCCCTGATGGCCTCCGCTTGCGGGATCGCTAAGTGCACCAGCGTAACAATAACAGTCCATAATGGTGATATTATTAACTGCATCGTGCATATAATTGATTTACTCTTTGTTCTGCATCATTATCCTTTCACCAATGAGTTTACTGCGTTATTCTCACATACTTAGTCAAGCACCAAATTACAAGGAAAGGGCAGGCTCTTGTAATGGCATCTAATGGAACATCGCATAAGCCATCATTACCGCCTCCTATTATGAGCTGCCTGCAGCCAATGAGCTTTCTGCCTTATTGGAATGTGCACAGAGCAATTAGAAAGTGCAAGGGACCTGGCCATTCTAAATTTTACCCAGGATATTACCACGCTATGTGTTCAACCCCTGCCCCTATCCTCAGGAGCAGCTAGGGAGATTCAGCCTCTGTCATTATCACTTTGAGGGTCACAGGGCCATGACCTGAGCCCCTTGCTACCTCTTTTTACATCAGTCCTGTGATTGATTTCATTTCCATAGTTAGTCCTTTTGATCTTGGGGCTAATTCTTTTTTTTTTTTTTTCTTTTTTTTTCTTTTTTTTTTTGGAGAGGTTTTTCGCTATAGGGCGCGTGCGCTCATGAGACAGAAAGCGAGAAATCACCCCCCAGGGGGGATGGTCACGCCGCAGTCCCTTCTCCTCCATTCTCCTCTCGGGATCTTGGGCATGCACGCACACGCACTCGGCATGAGTTTTAAGCCACCGGGTCCAGGACGCGAACCGCAGACGACGATGTGGGAGTCCAGCGACATAGCCATTACGCTAACTGCTGGTTCCCTTGGGGCTAATTCTTGGATCAAAGTGCATACTCCTGATTGGGCACCATGTCACAAATATAAGTGACCGTAGTCTACTCTGATACCAAAGTCAGGCTGGTACAGGAGCCCAAAGATGTTGGAGGTACTATTGGTCTCACGGTTCTTGAAAAGGGACTCATCTCCTCAGAGCAAGCCACTATTTCCTGACACAGAAGTCCAAACTGCTCTGGGATAAGGGAAGGAATTCCAGCCTCATTTTTGTCCTGGCTTCTCTCCATCTTGAGGTCAGTTTCTTTGGCTCTCTCATGGAAATCTCAGGCACCCTAAAGACACAGCCCTCTAGGGATGCACAGCAGGCCAGCGTGATATTCGATTCCATAGGCATCCCATCCCCATTTAGCCCTGAATAATGCTCACTTACTGTAAAGTGTTACATGCCCCCATTGTCAGAGGAGTTATGGTGGAAAAATGCAAAATTTCCTTTTTACTGCTTATGGCCAGCAGAGCCTATAACGTGTCAAGCCGCACATTAGCCACCCTGATAAAAGTCCGCTTTCTTACACACAAAATCATCGTTTCAGCAAGATTTGTTATCTCATTACCTGATAAGCTCTATGTCATAAACCAAGACTCATACGGTAAATCTCCCGGGAGGACGCTTTGTGGGCAGAAAGGGAGAGATATGAATCTGCAAGGGACTTGATAATGCAGCATTTAAGCACAAGCATAATGTCACTTATTGTTAAATGCATAAAACCACTTGGCCAAACGGTTGGGCTTTTAATAGGATTTTGTGCGGCATCAGGTGAGAAGCCATATGCTTTTCTGTCTAGGAGTCTCTGAGCACCTGCTAGCACCACTGCTTTGCCTCATAGCCCTCTGGGAATGGGAGCTGGGCTTTATGGAGGCCGTGGGAGGAGATGAATTCTTCCCCTGCAGCTGCTGCGCTTCCTCTGTCTTGCCTGTAGGTGGGATGTGGGGTCACTGTCATGGGGCCTGGCCTGGTCTAACTGGCCTCTCCTGTACAGGCATATTGTGGTGTGTGGACACATCACTCTGGAGAGCGTCTCCAACTTCCTGAAGGACTTTCTGCACAAGGACCGGGATGATGTCAATGTGGAGATCGTCTTTCTTCACAAGTAAGAGGCTCCTGCTGTTTCCAGACCCTCTACCCCATCGCAAACTCTGAGGGACTCCCTGGATGTCTGTAAGAGTGGTGATGGGGATGACATTGGAGATCAGGGCAGAGCTGAATAAGCCTAACCCCTGCTGGTCTCATTGGAGGAGAGGGTCTGATAGGACCAGTGGAAAGGTAGGTAACACACTAGTTCAGCCATGAGATCAGATCCTGCCTCTGCAAAGACAGTTCTGGGGACCACATTGGAGTTTCTCTCTAAAAGGAGTGGAGCTCACTATGGGTTCAGCTCATCACTATTGTCTCCTCAGCAGTCTGAGTCTTTGTGATCCAGGTGTGACCACCATGTCTGGAGTAAGATGATTAGTCATAGGATGTGGATACTTCAGAAGGCAGGAATGAGACAGTGACTAAGCAAACCCCCAACCTAAGAGGAAGCAGAGTGTAAGGTTATAACCATAACAGCTGCTGCTCCAAGGAATCTCCAGTGTAGGAATAGGCTGGCCACTGTGCATGAAGTCTCATCTAATCCATAGAAGGAGTCAAAGTAGATGTCCTAGACTTAAATTTCTCCTTCTGAATGCTGACTCAACCAATTACTGGTTGAGCAAGTTACTTAACCTTCCTGTGTCCCAATTCCCACATCCGTAAACCAAGGATATAATACTGGTTTCTACCTCATTGGGCTGTTGTAAGGATGAAATGAAATAAACCATGTAAAGTGTGCAGAAGATAATCAGGCATGTAGTAAGAGCTCAATAAATGTTAGCTGTCATTGTGAAAGATAAAATAATACAGTCTATCAGGCTTCACAATCAACTTAGGAGGCAGGTCTTAGTGTGTGTGTTTTACAGGTAAGGAAAGCAAGATATTCCTCTTCACTCAGTGTCACAGAGATTTTAAACTTGGCCTGATCCCCTTTCTGGGTGAAAGGTAGTCTGTGACAGGAAAGGAGAGAACAGGGGGCTTTGCCACACTTATGTGGATGGTACCATCGTCTTTTTTTTTTTTTTTAGAGAGAGATGAGGCTATCATGGTGCCAGCCCTGGCAGCAAGTTGCAAAGGGCCAGGACAAAGCTCACGTGTTGGTGTTGGCTCAACATGATGTTGCCCACCCAGAGCTCTGTCCTGCTTTGAGGGTCCACCGAGGTTGACTTCCCTACAAGTACCTCATCTGTGCATCCTCTTCCTCTGGCACTTGTTCACAGAATGCCAAACCTCTGACTTGCCACTATATTGGAACAGGAACGTTTTTCTTCTCTGCACTGACTTCTCCAAACTCCAAAAAGACATCCAGACTATGGTAGCACAGGTGTAGGTGCCTACAGGTTCAACTTAGTGCTTAACCACTCATTACCAGCTGTAGAGCCAGGGCTTTGCTGAGTATCTGTAAGGTCCAGGAGAGGTGCAGTGCACAGGTTCTGCCCTTACAGTGGATGGGCATGTGGGCAAAAATGAGAGGACGGCAATAATCCTGTATTATCTGATGGATGCTGAAGTCAGTTTAATCACATAGTGGAACTGCTTGGGATATTTTTACCAGGGAGAGACTAGTGCTGTCTGTGTTGCTGGGGCAGCTTCTGATTTAAGCTGGACTTGTAATGGATTGGGAAGCCTGGTAGGATTCATACAGGCAGTCTCTCAACCACTGCTTAGTTTGAGTAAACAAGCTGGCTGCTCACTAGCAATTCAATTGCTAGGATTCACCTTTGTATATCTAGCATCTATCACTGTCACACTGGAGGAGATGGCCCAGCTAATTAACCTCTTGAAGCTTTGGGTTAATAATATACCTTCAAAAGGAGTTGCTTTTGTAGTTTAAATGAGTTAATATTTCTCACTTACACAGTGCTTAGAACATTGTTTGCCACAAAGGAAATGCTCAAACATGTTAACAATAATAATAATAACTAAGGACTTAGTAAGTATTGACTTAGTACATGCATGGGCACACAGTAGGTTCTAACTAAATATCATCTCCCAGTACCTAGCACAAGAGCAGGAATTTTTTATCTTTGCAGAATGGATGAAAGAATGAATAGGTTGACCAATTGTTTAATCTTTGTCCTCCAATGGGAAAGGAGTCTGTACAGCTCAGCAATAAGATGTATGATGATGAGTACTACACATGTGCAATACACGTGTGAATCAAGATCAGTACTGAGAATAAATTCTACTGTTCTGCTCAGCAGTGATATTTTTGATCTAGGCCTTCTGGACAAGAAATCCATGAGGTAGAAAAACGGGGAAGGCTTCTGGTAGAGGAGAGAATAGTAGGATATCCTACTATTAGGGGAAATTTTAGCTATTTTCTGATTGTATTAGAGTTCTGTAGACTAATAGATGAGACGTAACTATAGATGTCTATGTCTATGTCTATGTCTATGTCTGTATAGATCTGGATACATATAGCGATACTGATATCTATAGCTATGTATGTGAGTGTGTGTCACTTAATGATGGGGATATATTCTGAGAAGTAGGTCATTAAATGATTTTGTCATTGTATGAACATCATAGAGTGTATTTACACAAACCTAGGTGGTAAAGTCTACACATCTAGGCTACATGGTATTGCCTATTGTAATCTTACGTGCCCACCGTCATACACATAGTCTGTCATAGACTTATGCATCATTACATGATGCATGACTGTACAGTTCTTTATATCTAACTATCTATGGCAGATTTATTTGAGGAATTGGCTCACTTGACTATGGAGCTGCAAAGTTCCACATTCTGATGTCTGCAAGCTAGAGACACAGGAAAGCCAGTGTAATTTAGTCTGAGCCTGAATGCTGAGACCAAGGGGGGCTAATGGTATATATGCTAAAGGCAGCAGAAGGGGAGAAGAGATGTTTTAGCTCCAGCAGGTTGTCAGGAAGAAAAAGGTCAAATTCCTTCTTCTAATATTTCATTCTATAAAGGCCCTCAGCAGATTGGATGGTGCCCACTCTCACTGAGAGGACATTTCACTAATCAAATGCTACTGTCACCCAGAAACACCTTCAATAGACACACCCTAAAATAATATTTAACTGGGACCAGCAGTTAGCATAATGGCTATATCGCTGGACTCCCATGTAGTTGATTGCGGTTCGAGTCCTGGACCCAGTGGCTTAAACTCACACTGGGCGCACGTGTGTACATGCCCAAGATCCTGAGAGGAGAATGGAGGAGAAGGGATTGCAGCATGGCCATCCCCTCTGGGGGGGTGATTTCTCGCTTTCTGTCTCTCTGTCTCTCTCTGTCTTTCTGGAGAGCGCACGTGCCCTATAGCAAAAACCTCAAAAAAAAAATTAACTTAGGCACTCCCTGGTGCAGTTGACACATTAATTTAACTATCACACTGGTGTTGCAGATCTGTGGATCCCATTCATAACACAGTTGAAGACATTTTGCCTCACAGGCCTCAGTCTTTCTAAATGACAAGAACCTCTTTATATTACCCTGGTACTGGTTTTGACTTTTAGCTGGGCTGGGTTTTTATTTGTCTTGAGTGTGAGAGTTTTGTTTTCTGTGGCAAGAAAGGGGGCTTATTTGAAGATCATCACCTTTTCCCAGGTCTTTCTCTGGAAATTAGAGAGGAGGGAGGCCATGGAACTGAAGTCTCTGAGTCAATTATATTAATGACTGTTTCTTTTTTCCCCTGTGCAGCATTTCCCCTAACCTGGAGCTTGAAGCTCTGTTCAAACGACATTTTACTCAGGTGGAATTTTATCAGGGTTCGGTCCTCAATCCACATGATCTTGCAAGAGTCAAGGTAAGAAGGGAGATGTGACTTCTGCTTTTACTCCATCTCAGGGGGGTCTGACACTGTGGTGAGGGGGGAGTGCCTTCAAGGATGGCCAAGCATCATCTCTTAAATCCCTCAAGACGAAAGTCAGATACCACCGACCTTGATAGCACCCTTCTAGTGTTATACTGGCACATATTAGACCACCTATAAGCATTCCACACTTGGATGAGTCATAACATGAAACTTATTCTGCTCCCTCAATATCAGCAACTCCTGAAGGAAGTAGACCAGTTGTACAAACTCAATAGTTTTATATACTATGTAACAATCAAGTAATTGCCATCTTGAATACTTAAGTTGAAGTCAATCTAATTCTGATATCAATTATTTAATATGAAAGAGGCAGTAGGGTAATATATAAACTGAAATTCCACAAAACCACAAAATATCTGGAGCTTCCTTCCTCACCCCCAAAAGACTCAAGCTACAAAACTCAACATCCAGGTATCAGACATCACTTGGTAATGGGCTAATCTTTCTTTCCACAACATGCCAAGTTAGAAACATCTGATAAAGCACATCTGATGCTTAGAAGGGATAGGGGACCCAGCATTATGGGATCTGCTACCTTACTCATTTTATATACAATTTTTAAGCATGTTCAAATTTGTATGTGCCAGTGGTTATACATTAATATTACAAAGTCACTGAAGTCTCCATGTTAATTATAGTCACCACATAATTCTGTAAATCATGTAATTAGCCAAAGTGAATAATCTGAAAGGATATGGGTAATTCCTTGCATTATTAAAGAGATCTAGAGACAATTTCAGACATACCATGCAGGAAATCATGCCTTCCCACCAAATGCAAGAATGGTCTATTAAGTATAACATGCCAAGTAGGACAGATTGCAGACCTGAGCCAGCATGAGAATTCTTATGCTTATGTACTCCAGTTAATATTATCCAGACGTGACCCAACTCATGGCTAATGTGAACTCTTATGAGAACACAGGAAAAATAGCTATTGTTCATGGACCTAATTTAAATGCAAGCAATTATTAGCACATCATACTCATGGTCTCCTCTAAGGAATAAATCCCTTTTGGCTTGTGTTTAGATAAGTCAATAAGTTTTTATTTTGAGTTCATTCGTAAACATTATTGCATGCGTATAGATTTATTATCTTTTGAACATCTGAGTACTAATTTAGTGCTCAACAATATAGAACTTTATATGATTTAGGATCTGATCTTTTCATAGTCTGTAGATAATAAGATGTGAGAAAGATTAGTTGAAGAACTTTGGAATCTAAAATTCAGAATTAACTAGTCAGTTAATTTGCTGATCTAAGAGAAGAGATTTAACCCTACTATCTCCATTTCTTTCTTTTCTTTTCTTTTTCTTTTTTTTTTTTTTTTTTGAGAGTTTTTTTGCTATAGGGCGCATGCGCTCACCAGACAGACAGAGAGACAGAGAGACAGAAAGCAAGAAATCATCCCCAGGGGGGATGGCCACGCCGCAATCCCTTCTCCTCTCGGGATCTTGGGCACGCATGCACATGCGCCCGGCGTGAGTTTTAAGCCACCGGTTCCAGGACGCAAACCGCGGTTGACTACGTGGGAGTCCAGCGACATAGCCATTACGCTAACTGCTGGTCCCCCTACTATCTCCATTTCTTGACTAGAAAAACTTGGATGATAGTGCAGATGGTTGAGAAAGGAGGCAGGGAGGGGATGGAAAGACTTAACTGTTATCTAAAGAGATCTGGAAATCCTACATGGAAGTGACTATGCCAAACGAAATGTGTAATTACCAAGGTACATGTTGTACCTCCAACAGCAGCAGGATGAAATGTTTATACCATAACAAGAACTTACAACCTACACTTTTGACAAAAACAATAATCTCTCAGGACTTTTTTTTCCCCTCTCCTTGCAAAGCACCAGGTTTCCCAAGAGCTGTCGACAGAGACACTGCAGTGGAGCATGGCTATTTATATGTTTGTGTTCTGTGATTTTTTTTTTTTTCTTTTGGTGTCTTAGATAGAGTCAGCAGATGCGTGCCTAATCCTTGCCAACAAATATTGCGCCGACCCAGATGCTGAAGATGCCTCCAACATCATGAGGTAACTCTAGGGGGTGGGGGGACTGGGTAGGCTCTGGACTTGGCACCCCATGGCCCTCTCAAAGTCTTTTTGGGTCCTCTAAGAGGACTATCTTTGGGGGACTTTCTTTTTCCCATAAGCCACACCACATCTTGTCATCTGCATAGGCCTGGGAGCCGAGGCTGTGTTGAAAAGGAGGGCAGTGGTACCCAGGACACGGCCAGCAGGAGGCTCACCCTGGCCAAACAGGAGCTCTGGGGCTCACAGTTAATATTGAGTTTGAGGTTCTTTGAGAAGAACTAGGAAAGGAAATAGAGATTTAGATGGGTGCAGGCCTGAATTAAGGTACCATGTTCCCCTAGGGAACTTAATGCTATCTAACTGGGACACTTTTGCCTCCCTGGGAACATTCTGCCACATTTGGAGTTTTGGTTTGTTACAACAAGGGGAAAGTGTTGCTGGTGTCTGGTGGGCTGAGAAGAAGGATGCTGTTAAAACATCCTACAGTGCACAGACAGACCCCAGTAGGGGATTATTGGCCCCAAGTGTTACCAGTGCAGATTGAGAAACCCTTTGGTTGAGCTTTCCAAGTGTGTCTATAGTATGTTGATTAGCATCACCCCAAAGAGAACTTTGTTGTCAAATTAATTTGTTTCAACTAGTTTCTCAACATTAGTTTTCTTCACTGAAAGCCTTTTCAGCACTATTAATAATATGAATCTCTGAAATAATGTATTATGGAGCATTTCTCAAACTTATTTGTCTACAAGCCCCTCTTCCCCATTTTTTATAGAACCTCTTCTGGGAGAGGACAGTCTGAAACAAGCTGCCCAGTGCCTTTTGACAAATGGATTAGATCCATCTAGCGCTATTTTCAGCCCTATTTCCAATACCTTTTTCTTTTCTCATTTCAGAAGAAAAAAATGGGCAGATTTGTTCTTTCTTTAGACCCAGTAGTCACATCTTGTGACCTTGAAAAGACTAAAATGTTAAGACATTTACTCCAGGTAGTTAAGCCCTTTCAGAATTCATCTGTTCTCTAGCCCCAGTTACAGGATAGTTAAGAGAACTGGGAGAGAATAATAAAGAGAACCTTCTGGAGAGGAGAGGAACTAAGGGAAACATTTCACTCCCACTGAATTCCCAGGAACTCTTGCCTAATTGTGAACAGCCATCCTTTGGTCCAGATAGAGATTTCCCCTCTCCCTCCAGCTTGGCTTACTGTGTGTCTTGGGAATTTACCTGAGGCTGAGGACTGGGAAGTTGCCTTTGCTTCATTATGAGGCTCATGTCTCCTTTGTCTTTGCATTTAATTAGTGGCCCCCAGTGGCAGGAGCTTTCCCACCAGTGAGGTGGAGGAATTCCTCTGGAGCATTTTGCATGGGCATGTCTTTCCTAACCATCTGGTCCTTGCATCTGGGAGGCAGTGTCTGGCACAGTCTTCTCCCACTGGCTTTTCTCCTGCGGTATGCTTCCTGCAGTCATGTTAAGGAAGTTGATGGCTTGAGTCTTATAAGCATCAGGCTTGCCAGATTGCAGAAAGAGGGTAGAACAGGGACTGGCTTCACACCTGGACCTATCCCCTAATTCCTTACAGATGGAAAACGGCCAGTCCAGCCTCAGTTTAGGGTATGCCACTTGTCCCTTTCTTTGAAGTAAGTAAGATTTCTATCCTTTGACATGTTTTTCTATCATTTGAATCGAAATAGGCTTTATCATCTTCAAACTTTCACGCAAATAAACGAAAGAAGATGAAGCTTAACCTTTTGACCCCACAGAAAATTTGGGGGCTGGCTCAGCTTTCCGTTTGTCGGTTTTAGAAAGTGAATAATAGAAATAAGTAATAGCTTTGAAATGGGTATTTTTCTTAATTGCAATATTTTATTTAACCCTTGCCTGTGATAGGGTTAATATGAAGACATAAATGCCAAGATGATTGGCAAGATGCCAAGGCATAGAATTTATCGGACACATGTAGTATCAGATATATAATTAAGCCACTCATTAACTAGAACCACTAAGGCCCAGTCAGTGAAAGGAAATGGGGAGCTCAGGGTTAAAAATGGCCTCTGTCTTTCTCTTATTTGTGTAATCTTCCTTCCTCCTCAGTTTAATGAGACCAATCTGCCTCTTTTGAAATTAAAATGTCAAAGATTCATTTGAAATGAGCTAAGGCAAAAAACTGGCTGATGCTGGAAACTGCAAGGAGAGGACTGACAGAGCCTCAAAGCCCTTGAGTTATAAGCATGGGCTAACAGAACACTCTCTCAAAAATAAAATGCAATCCTTCAAGTGCAAAAACCAAGGGTGGATTTGTGTGTGGAGAGGCTTTGGCATCATCCGTTTCCTAAATTCACAAGTTGCAGCTTTTCAGATAAAGCTGCTCCCTGGCTGCCTTCTCTCCATCTTTGCACGGGAAGGGGTGAAATGGGGAGCACTGCTTGGCAGGAAGTCTGTACATGGTGGTGGGGGGGGTTATACTAAATGCACTTGCATTTCTGATTAGGCTTAGGCGGTGGGCCTTGCTTTGGAATTCCATTCTGTAGCCTTCCTTGTCACAAAAGGAAATGTACAATGTCACCTCTGACAGAGTTGGTAATGACAAAAACCATAACTTACACGTGGAGAGAACTTTTAATGATTTCAAAGCATTTTCACATCTGGTCTCCCATTTGCTGCTCATACCAAGCCTGTGAAGTAAATAAAGCAGGTACCGTTGCCCCCAATGTCCAGATGAGGAAACAGGAACAGAGAGCCCAGGGATTTCCTGAAGGTCACCCAGTTCATTAGTACAATAGCAGCAACTGGAGTCCAGGTGTTTCCATTCATCTGCCCCTCCCTTTCAGCACCATGATTGGCAGGGGGAAAGCAAGGGAGAGTGGGAGTGGGGCCAGGCCAGTGGTTAATGGTGTATGGACTGAGGAGCGGGTGTTTTCCAGCAGACCCTGACCTCCTCAAAGGCCTTGGCACTTCTCTTTAACCCATGTTTCAAGTAATCGTTTAAACTCTATTAGCTATGGAAGGCTGAGGCCTTGAATCCACATAAACCTTGCCTAGAAATCATTTTCATGAGAGTAGCCAAGAGTGTGTGACAATTAAATCCATTTGTCATGCTGCTTTTTTTGATTTGTCATTGTCTCAAGTTGTTAACTTGGAGAATTAGATTCAGAGCAGATTGTTCCTAGGTCCTAGTGTGTAGGAGATTGCAATCCTCTCGTGGCCCCATGACTTGAGCTTGCTATAAGTGGCTCTATAGGTAGTAAGCTGGTGACCCCTGCTCCAGAACCCTCCAACCCTCCTACCCCATGCATGCATGGAGACATGTGGTCACCCATGCAGGACAACAGTCTCTCCTATTTTTTGTTCCCAGGACACAGGCTGTGGTCATTTTGTGATACATTTTCCACTGCACAAAAAGGTATGGTGGTGGGAATGCAGTTTATCTTGGCCCAGTGACTGTGACCCCTCTGGATGGCTTTGGCAGCTGGCCTACAGGTGTCCCATTTTGGTGATAATCAAGTTGATCTTCCCATCAGACCCGGCCTCAGCTCTGGTTCTTTCTTTTTCAGAGTAATCTCCATAAAGAACTACCACCCGAAGATCAGAATCATCACTCAGATGTTGCAGTATCACAACAAGGTAGGGCAGGAAGAGCCTGTTCCAGGCCTGGAATCACTTCCCTGTGTCCAGCCTCTTCTCCCTCACCATTCAACATCACATAAGTGCATGTGTGCGAGCACATGAAAAAAAAAACACACACACTCATGTGTGCACATGTGTACACCAGAGCAACTCAAAGGACTGGGTAAAGAGGTGTGGTGGTTAAAACCTCCCTAGGACATTTCTTTAGTATAAACAACTTGTTTGCAGTTGGTCACTGGAAGGAAACTCCTTCATGAACTAATTCATTCATGGAGGAAGAATTATTGAACCACTAGGTTCAGAAACACTGATGTATTCCCATTCATACCTAAATTACAACAGCCTCCATTGTTTTCTTTTCTTTTTCTTGTTATACTTTGTGCTTCAGTCATTCCTTCAGTCAGCATTTATTAAATGCCTTTTATGAAGTTAGCACTCTACCTGATACCTGGAGAGTTATAAGTGAAGTAATCCTCCTTTGCATACTCGGGGACCTAGCAGTTAAGGTGTATAAAGTCCCCTAGGCAAATGATAGGACTTCTCTCCCGGAGACCAGGTGCACTTGAAAGAGCATAATACACTCTGAGCGGAGCATGTGGAACACATTCTCAAATTCAGGATGAGAATTTGCAGAGTTAAATCAGGAAAACAATTGGCTATCCAGAGATTAAACATAAGAAATTTTCCTAATGTTGTAGTGGACAGTGGGGGAGTTGATTGGAAAGAAAACAAAGGCAGGCGTCTGTGTTGTTTCCCTGTGATTACTTCTTGGTAATCCAGAGTCCAGTCTCATTCAAAGGCAATGTTCCTTCCCTTGGCTGACTGGTCAGCAAAGGCCCAAGAAAACAGCTTTGGGGGAGGGAAGGTGGCATCTTTCTCTGTTTGATGTGGTACCAGTTATCTCCTTAATGAAGCTTAGAAACCGGAGGCTGCTCAGTACCTGGAGCCAGGTGTCCTATCTGAACAGAATAACTCCCTGCTGGGTTATGAGTGAGAGTGTGCCCCGTCTTATAGGCCATATTCCCTACGAAATAGGCAGTCAGGTGACCCAGAGAAAACCCCATTCTGCCAAATGCACCAGCGCCATGCCATTATTTTTTAATTGCTGGCAAGTGCTGGCCCATTTTGCTGTGTGGAGGCCCATCAGAGGCCATTGTTGAGTGAAGCCTGCTGTCAGTGACTGGCCCACCACTCGGAACCGCTGCCCACTGCCAACCATTGCCCAACCCTCAGCAGGTGGCTCCGCTGCAGAACACGTTGCTCTCCAGCCAGTGGGTCTGGTGGTGGGCACCCGAGGTCACATTCCCCAGTTTGTCCTGACAACTCAAGGACACTGACGAGATAAACAGAAAGTATTGATAACTCACAGGCTTCAATCTGGAGAAGTGTCTGATGGCAGTCCCTGTAGGTGGAGGTGAATTTTATTATCAAGGCTGACTAGTGACAGCTCCTGTGGCAACGAGCACTTTTTCTTTCACTTTGATTTGAAATTTCATTTAGTGTGGGAGTACTTTAAACTGTTGTTTAGATTTTTGGCTGAATTTAGATTGAATAGGAAAATTAATGTTGTATGTTTAGAGAGGGATGTCAGTTCGCTTTTTTCTCCTTCCAGTGAGTGCTGATGCAGCATCTTCAAGAAATTAAGAAGGATTTCAGCTGTGTGCTTCTTGTCAAACTCACAGAGGCTCAACTGGCCTCAGATCTAGACAGTACCTGGTCAGGAATCACAATCTGAATGTCTTTGACATAACTCTTTACTGTAATCATTCAGAGACAATGATGGAAATACTGAACGATCCATGATTATATGCTTAAAACACATTTTGTTTAGAAACATCCCGATTTATTTAGGTTTCAGGGTTAAGCAAAATCGCTTACAGACCCCTGAAAGGTTAATAAAGACATAGGATCTAGAGCGACTTAGACACAGGCATTTTTCTCTATGATTTCATTTCCTTGTTCTAGAGAAAGAACAAAAAGTACACTCCTCCGTGCCACCTCATTCCTTGTAGAATTCTAAGTGGATGTTCTTCACCTGCTTCACAATTTTATTCTTTCCTAAGATGTTTCCACTTACAGTTTCAACATGTTTTTCCTCTTTTCTTCAATATTTTTTCTTTCCCTCTTGGCACTTTATCTGCCTCCAACCTAGATGCCAAGTGGTCTCCACTCATTAAAACTTGCTTTCAGGAAAGAGCCTGGAATGTGCCTATTGACTTACTGTCTCTATGAACATATACTAAGGGATAGTCCGTACTGGACACCAGCCATAAGATATAAAGAGTTTCCATCCCCTGCATCCCCTGTGCTCTAATAGTAGTGATGCTCTAGGGCCTCCAGGATGTAGGAAGCTGCCTACTTTCTCTCTATGTAAAACAGGCCTTGAGTGTGTCATCATAATAATCTCAGACATTTGAATCATATTTGATGGTTTTAAAAGAGCTTTGACATTCATTATCTCATTTAGTCCTCACTGGCCCATCTGTGCATTTTTGTATCCCAGCGTCACTTCAGACCAGGGTTTCTAACTCTAGTGGACACAAATTATGGTCACTGAGCAGCCAGTGAGCTGGGACAGAAGGTGACAGCCAACTGCCACCTTCTCTTTAAATGGAACCACAGCCCATTGAACCAAACTGTGACTTGTTTCATAGAAGGCCTCATAAAAGTTGGCCTCATAGAAGTGCTGATGCTCTCCAAACTAGATCTTTTTAATATTGCTAGAATTCATGGAGAGAAACGCTTTCATCCAGGCTACCTCTGATCACAGAAGAAAGATGACATGGGACATCTTCTGATTTGAGTGCAATGTCTTGAAGCTCTTCTATGGATAGAAAAGAATGATTTAGGACATCTTCGAAGAGTGTCACTCCTGATGATTACTTATTATTTTCCTAGCAGACTAGTATAAGAGGCCTTTGTCTCTGACTTGGAAGTCAAGTCTCCATGACCCCATGTAGATGCAAGTTCTTTGACCTTTCTCACTATCAACTCCTACACTTGGGCAGTGGGATTAGAGAGTTTCATTTTTTTCTTTTTTTTCCAACTTTTTTGCCATAGGATGAGTGTGCTCACCTGAGAGAGACAGAGACACAGAGAGGGAAACTAAGAAATCATGCCCCAGAGGGGATGACCATGCCACAATCCCTTCTCCTCCAATCTTCTCTTGGAACTCTGAGCACACACTCACACATGCTCAGGGGGATTTTCAAGCCACCCAGTCTAAGATTTGAACCATGGTCAGCCATATGGCCACCACCATGCCACCTGCTTTTTTTAAAAATGACCTTCTTTGTTCTTCATGGTTGCTTTCCTTGCATATAGTGAAAGATGGAACTGGGACTGGAATTCATCTTTGCATGTTTACCAGGCAGTCCTTTTTCCACATTCCTTTTCTGTGAGATGAGAGGGGTGGGAGTCAGTAGCAGGAGTGGAGAAAGGCCCTGGTGCTACTAGACCTGCTCTTGATAGTCTTTAAATTAGAGAGGATTTCTCTCCAGACTCCTGTGCAGTAACACTGGCATTTTCCACCAGACGCACATTTCCTCAAATGGAAAGGACAAAGTTGCCAGAAACAAAGAATTCGAGTTCTTGAGTCAATCTCCTCTCTTTATTCCGTGCACACAGATTTCCCTTTTGGCCTTTGAGATATCAACCTTCTCTATGACCTGTGATCGGAGATGCAATGATGACCAAAGAGGGAGGCCAGGAAAGTCTGAGACATGAAACAAACTTGACTTCCTTGTGTAATAACATGTAAAATATGCCTAAAGAACTCAAACCAGATGGAGACATGACAGACCCAAGGCCTAAACACTGAGGCTTCATATTCTGAAAAGCACATGAGGATATGAGAGACTTTCTGGAAAAGATTTTGCTATTTGTTTGAAGGTGCTGCGAAGGTTATGTGGTGTCTCTCTAGGGCTTGGACCACCCAAATCTCCTGTCACACACACTTGTTCATTACTTAGATCCTATTTATCCTCGTTCTTCTCAGGTACTGTGACTACAAATGAGTATTTCTCCACTTAAACTGGTATGAGTCCTGTGGTGTCAGGGAATTACAGGAGAAGTCACCTTCTTAAGCCAGTGAGGAGCAGAGAAAGCACAGGGCTAAAGGGCAGGGCTAGTTGTTGGAATAGAGCTTAGAATGTGGTGGAGTCCTCTGATACCTGGCTTGACAGAGAGGACCATCTACTGTGGCCTCCACACAGAACTGTTTAACTTACTTTCATCAGTGGGGAGACAGTCATCTCTCCCAACAGTAACCGCTGCTGGTGTAGGACTCACAAGATTGTCCCAGAGGTAGAATCTGCAAACAGGACCATCATAAGCAGAGCATGACCTGCTCTGTTTGTACATCAAGTCTTCAGTTCTTCTAGTATTCTAGTACAACTATAGGGTGAGCATTCTTTTTCTTTTTTTAAGAATTATTTTATTTTAGGGACCAGCAGTTAGTGTAATGGCTGTGTTGCTGGACTCCCACATAGTCAACCGCGGTTCGCGTCCCAGACCTGGTGGCTTGAACCTCACGCCGGGCTCATGTGCGTGCATGCCCAAGATCCCGAGAGGAGAATGGAGGAGAAGGGATTGCAGCGTGACCATCCCCCCCTGGGGGGTGATTTCTCACTTTCTGTCTCTCTGTCTCTCTCTATCTTTCTGGCGAGTGCACGCGCCCTATAGCAAAAACCTCTCAAAAAAAAAAAGAATTATTTTATTTTAAAAAAGAACTATTTTATTTGACTTCATTCATTCATTATTTTTAATTTGATCAGAGAGGGAGAAAGAGAGAGAGAAAGAGAGAAAGAGAGAGAGAGAGAGCAAGTAAATCGCCAGGTCTGAAACTCAGACTGCGGTTGGCCATGTGGGAGTCCAGCACCCTTAGCTACCACCTGGCAGTCTGCAGGGTGAGCATTCTTTATCCCAAACACAAAATGCCCCAAATTCCAAAATGTCTTGAGCACTGATATGATGCCACAAGTGGAAAATACCACACCTGACCGTATGTGACAGGGCTACAGTCAGAATGGTGACTACAAATGAGTATTTCTCCACTTAAACAGGGCTACAGTCAGAATATTGCAGTAAAAAATACTGTAGAAGGCAGTCTCATGGCCTGGTGGTTAAGGCAGCTGGGTCTCACATGGCTGACAGTGTGGTTCAAATCTGAACCTGGCAGTTTGAGAAACATGCTGGGCATATGTGTGTACGTGCCCAAAATACCCAAAAGAGGGAGAAATGGAGGAGAAGGAATTGCAGCGTGTCTATGCCCCATGAGGGCTGCTTTCTCATTTTCCATCTCTCTCTTTCTACTGCCAGCATATGTCCCCTTTGGCAAAATTAAAAAAAAAATACCATAGGACTAGTAGATGGTGTAGTGGTTACATCACTGGATTCTCACATGGCTGACCACAGTTCAAGTCCTGGACCCAGAGGCTTAAAAATCACGCAGGGCACATGCGTGTATGTGCCCAAGATCCCAGGAGGAGAATGGAGGAGATAGGATTGTGCCATAGCTATCCCCCAGGGGGTGATTTCCCACTTTTTTTCTCACTACCTCTCTCTCTCTCTGTTCGGTGAGTGCATGCACCCTATGGCAAAAATCTCTAAAAACAAAATACTGTGTAAAACTACCTTCATTTTATATAAATATAGTTTTTATAAACAAATGAATTTCATGTTTAGATTTGAGCCCCATTCCCAAGATACCCAAATGTATATATGCAAATATTCAAAAATCCAAAAGATATCTGAAACCCCAACATATTTCTGGTCCCAAGCATTTTGGGTAAGGGATATACAACCTATACCATATATCGTCCTGATAGTGAAGAGAAGCCTTCTTTGGTGCTCCTTACATTTGCTGATATGTAGAGAGAAATGAGAGAAATGATCATTTCAGGGCCATAGAATCTTGGCCTTGGCAGGAACTTTGAAGGGTTCTCTGATTCAACTTCCTGTGCAAAGCAAGAGTTCTTTCTACCATGACTTTGAGAAATACCTACTGAATCTTAGGGTCAAAGACCTTGTATTTCTTGAGGTAGCTTTCTTCATTTAGTAGAAAAATTACATCTTTATAAAGTCCCTTTATAAAACTACCTAAAACTGCTTCTTATAGTAAATACCAGTCAGTCCTAATTCTGGCTCCTGGGGCAAAGCAGGACAAACCGTCTTTGACATAGCAGCACCTGAGTATCAGATGTAGCCAGCCTGTCTCCCCGAGGATGTGGTCCTTCTTCAGGCCAAATGTTATAAACTTTCTGAACCATCTCTTAGATCTTTTCTAGAATGCTTATCTCTTCTTGTCCCTTCCCTGTCATTGTTCTCAAAGGTGTTCATTGAAGTTGCTCAATTGATCTTTTTTCCTAGTTAAACCTGTCTGTTCAAACTGGATCAAGTCCTCTGGAACTCGTCTGAGCAGTTCACAGCAAAATGTGTTCATTTCCCTTGACCTGGAGACCATTTCTAACAAGCACACATTGGCCTTCTGTGTAATTTCTCACATTGTTGGCCTCTCCTTGAGGTTTTAGTTACCCATACACTTAAATGTTGCTCTGTATGTGTGTTTAAATCTGTCTACTGACAAGATAGATCTTCTTTGGAATTTGTAAAACTTTTTTTTAAACCTAAATGCTGTACTTGACATTAAGGCCTTGTCCTTTTCTTTTTGCCATAGAGTATGTGTGCTTGCCAGAGAGAGAGACACACAGAGACTGTGAGAGGGAAAGTGAGAAATCACTCCCCAAGGGCGATGGCCACACTGCAATCCCTTCTCTTCCAGTCTCCTTCTGGGATCTTGGGCATGCACGCAGGCACACACACCCTTTGTAATTTTCAATCTACAAGATCCGGGACTCAAATTGCAGTCAGCGATGTGGGAGTTCAGCAGCATAACTACTATGCCATCCGCTGGTCCCAAGGCCTTGTACTTTTTTCTGTTTGTTTGGGTTTTTTTGGAGAACTTTTTGAATTTTGAGTCTTTCATCCAATGTATTATGTATAACTCTCTGCTTCATACTTCTTAAAAATAAGTCAATGGGCATCTCTCTGAGTCCTTGCCTTAGACTCTGATGTAATTGTTCAATTGAATCAATCTATTTGTACAAGAGATTGTAAAATGTCTACACGGTGATATACTCAGCGACTTTAGGCAGTGGTTCTCAAAGTGTGGCCCCCAGATTAGCAGCATCAGTATCACCTCCAACAGGCTAGAAATGTAAATTCTCCAGCTTCACACCAGATCTACAGCGATCTGTGTTTTGATGAACCCTTCAGGTAATTCTGACACACGTTTAGGTTTGGGAGTCACTGATATGGACTATTGTGAAGGTAGGTCAAAAAGCAACAGAAAATACTCAGGCTTTTGGCTGTCCATGGTCTATGTGAGGAGCTAGTTTATGAACAACCCAAGCAGACATCCCGATAACATAGGCCTGTCACAAGTGGAAACCCCCTCTGGGCTCTGTTTGGCTAAGCGACAAACCTAAGGGGAGAACTTGGGCTTGGTAGGTACAGAGTAATGTTCCAGAGCTGGAAGTCTGATGTACGGAAGGGATGAACACCAGACCTAGGCAAAGAAAAGGAAGGATGAGTCTGGATGACTAGAGTGCTTGGGCGATGCTGCATTTCCCAGAAGAGATTTTAAACAATTGAACATTTAACAAAGCAAGGCCTCATACCTGTTTTTGTTTCTACAGGCCCATCTGCTAAACATCCCGAGCTGGAATTGGAAAGAGGGTGATGATGCAATCTGCCTCGCAGAGCTGAAGTTGGGTTTCATAGCCCAGAGCTGCCTGGCTCAAGGCCTCTCCACCATGCTTGCCAACCTCTTCTCCATGAGGTCATTCATAAAGGTAACGTCGTGTCTTATTAGCACACATTAGCCCAGGATTCCATTTGTCGTGGGGTTGAGTAGAGAGCACAGCTTAAACTCAAAACAGATCGACGGGCTTTAACCACTTTGGTTAGGGAGAAATTCCTTGTTACGGATTTGGGCACGAGGCCAGCTTCTTTCAGAATTATGTTTTTATTTTTATTTGGCACATCCATGGCCATTAAATGATTGTTCAAAGCACAATCCTCTCTTTTTTTTTAGATAAACCACATGTTTATCTATCAACAAAGCCTCCGCTGTTAAAACAAAAATATGATTTATATACATTCCATATGGAACCGGAGCGCCTAAAGAAAAGAATTATCATTTTGCTCTTTTATATCAAGTGGCTGGTGGACCTCTCACTGTGTGGATAAATGCAGACCATGTGTTTGTGCTAAAGCCCAAACCCCAACAACATAATTCATTTATTTATTTCTGCACAATCAAGGAGGCCAGCAGGGCTGACATGCCATGGTTATTGGAATGGAGAGTGAGATGAGGAACTGCATCCCCAGCAGCCTGTACACCAAGAGACCGGCCGTATGGGTGTGTTCATCTCCTCATCAGTCCGCACCCCACAGAGCTGACTGGGCAGCCACTCTCAGTCCCTGAATTGTCCACTACTTGCTAGACTAACTCAGACAAAGAGAGAAAGGACTAACTCTTTCCTTACAAACTAGGCCAGGTCATGAGTATTTCGAGGGTATTGCACTGAGGATCTAGGCCCCTTAAAAGCAGCACAGGTTAACTCAAATTCTCCCTCTTGGATTATTCTTAGCTTAGACAGTCGAGGTGGCAAAACCAGACTAGCCCAGTCCTTTTTGATTCGGTGCTGGTAGTGATTAGCTCTAGATCTTCTGACCTTACATTCTCCTTCTTATTGCATAACCAGCAGAATTAATCTTAGTTGAGATATGAAATTGGCAAGTCACTATGAGGTCCTGCAAAGAGTGCCAGAGGCTCTGAACTCAAAGGTGTGAGACCTCCAGCCTCCTGCTATGGCTGCAGCACTCACCAGCAAGTCATTCGATGGAGCCAGGGAACAGCCCATAGTGTAGTGAGTGGGACGGGTGGAGAATACGAGGATGCAGGTGTATTCATGCTTGCACTGGGCCTCCATGTGTTCTGTTACTTATAGCAGGAGTTTTTCTAGATCTTTTCCCCATGGATTCACTTAACCAACATTGTTTGTCCAGTAGGTAGTTAACATTGCTCTACAAAAGAACAAATTATTCCAGAGTCCCTTCCCTTTAGCAATATTTGTAGCAATTGATTCCTTGATTTAAAAACAAAACAAAACAAAAACTTCTTGTCTTCATTATGAGCCCAAAGACCACAGCTCAACAGAATTCTGGGCTCCGACTTAGCTTACACATAAAGACACTGCATTCTTCTTAACGTCTGCTTTAATCCAGACTGCTGTTATTCTGGCTGTAGGCAAAACAGAGGTGACAGGAAGGTCTGTGTGGCTGTGTTTTGAGACAAGCCCCACAAACCAGATGTAGCCATATGACTCCCAGAGCTCTGACATTCAGCACAAGGACCCCAGATCTAGGATAGGGGATGGTCACCAAGGGAACTCTTCTGGCTCTTTCAGCCCAGCTCTGGTGGTTTTGTTCCAGCAGGGGATTGCCCACAGGACCAAGCACGAGGTCTGAGATGCTGGGCTGTGCTTCCTCGTGTTGATGTGACATGGGCCTTGGCAGGGGCCCACCACAGATGGGGCCACTTGACATGCGTATGTTTTGATTTTGTGGTGCCTGCGTGGTAACTGGAGCTGCCTGTCAAGAAAATTAATAAAGTGGATGTGACGCTGATTCTTTAGTGTTATTACCAGCAGGGAGAACTTCAGCCCAGCTTTCTTCAGGACCCTGATGGGCCTCACCTCTAAAGCCAAGGACGTCCCCTCCAGCTCAGCTAATCCCATTGCCAAATTTCTATTTAGGAAGAGCCTGTGGGAAAGGCTGGGCTGGGCGCTAGTGTAACTGAAAACACATTTTCCTCCCAGGGTTATGTTACCACATTATTTCTGTCCAGGGCCAATTCCCCCATGTTGGAAGTAGCTCTCTGAATATGGCCTTTTGACGTTGAGGTGCTCTTTGTATTAGAATGTGCTAAGGTGTGTGACCTGGAAATAACAAGGCTTCCTTTTGCATATATATGTTTGCATTTTTAATTTAAAATCCAGACAGCCTTCTTCATGTGCTCCCATTCTATATAGTAGCCTTTGTGTACTTTCCCTCCGAATTCCAGATCCTGGTCTCTCGTAGGTCATGGCACACACCATTACGATGTGCTCCTTGGCACGTTTTATGTATTATCTCCCATCTCGGGAATCAGAAAGCCCTCACTTATTGTTTTGGGGTGGAGGCAGGTGGAAAAGGAAACCTATAAATGGATTATTGTTTATAGAAATTGCTTCCTTCCCCTCAATGACCCCCATATCCGTGCAGCAGAGAATTCAGCACTTCCACAGAGACAAGCAGACCTGTAGGATGGAGGGAGCAGAGATGAGGGTTTGGCAGCTGTTAATCCTTTGGGAACACTTAGCATTTCTGGAAGCCAAAGGTAAAGTGTGAGCTCACCATGTCTCTTGCCCTGAGCAGGTAGTGTCTGTTTCTTGGTTCTGCAGAATATATTAGACTCTGCCCCTGCTCAAAGAAGAGGAAAGAGAAACAGGACTGGAACCATGCACTATTACCACAGGCAGAAGCACACTGACTGATCACGGGGCGTTTCATTATACATGAGACCAGAGAGCCAAGACTTAAAGTGTGGCTGATGGAGTGTAACAAAAGAGAGAGGCACTACTAGCATTCAGGAATTACAAAAGAGGCCCAGCCCAGAGGAACCAAGGAATACTGGGGGACACTTATTCATCTCCCCACCGAAGTTACTCTCAAAGATCCTAACCTCAGGTCCCAAGTCATGGGTCATGAATGGCGAGCTTTTATTTAAATATGTTATCTTTGAATTGATCTGAACTTTCTGGGAACTTCTTTACATTTTTAGCCCACATCTTTGGATAATGAATTCCTTAAGTTTGCTAACTACTGTTAAAGATTGTTTTCCTGGCTATTTGTCCTTAATTTTCTCCATTTAAACTTTAAGGCATGCCCTGTAGGGTTTCTGTTGTGCTTGGATGTAATACATCTGTGCTGCTTTATATCCAATACTTTTAGGCTTAGGATGGCAACCCAGGGGTCTCCAGTTCAGGAGCTGTTGTCAATGACAGGTTTTGTGTAATAGGGTCTTGTTTTAACCCGGGAGTTCCTTTAAAGAATACAAACAAATAGGTAGATGCCTGTGACTTATCTGTATCTACGTTATCAACCAGGCCTGGAACATGTTGTTCATTTACCACTATCTGATCTCCTACTGGCCTGTCAGGTTCCAGTGAGACTCTCCCTAATGTCTTCTGGAAAGACCAAGAAAAGAAATTCATTTAGCCTATCTGCCATCACTTCATCCTTGAATAAGTGGTCACACTTACTCTATATGTGGCTTCCTCACTTATATAATTTAAAATCCATTGATTTTTGTTTCTGTTTTTGCTTCTGAGTCTAGCTGTTTATTTAACTTTCTCTTCAGCAATGGGGTTTTGAGTTGAGACCTGACCTGCCATCTTTATGAATTGTGCTCTTATTCTAACTAGATTAGCTATCCTTGCACATGATAAATTGTGCACGTGTGTATTTTCTAAAAGGTGATTAACTCTTAAAATTGTTTTTCAGTCTATATTGAGACTTTCAACTTTGCAAATTTAAATAGTCTCAGAATTGCCAACCTTTTTAACTATGTTAACCTACCATTTTATACATGCACGCACACATACACACTAGAACGTGGTATGTACCCCATAATCCCATAATCGTTTTTTTAGTGAATGAGCCAGTTGTGAAAATAGAGAATACATGGGGTCTATTTCTTGTGTGCCCCCCTCCAATTCCATAAGATTGGGAGTTTGTGGATGAAACGTTAGCTAATATCAATCACGGCAGAGCCTCCTCCATCACAGTTTCTGTTGATGAACGAGGAAGCACTAGGGAAATCAGGCCCATGTTCCCATGTTATTCGGATTGTATCTTGGCTGAAATGGTCATGGCTGGACACACAAGCCAATTGTTCTTTATTTCTATTACTGCCTTGAGAGAAACTTTTAGCTGTGCTCGCGTTAGCAGCACATATACCAAGAGAAACTTTGAGTGACACGTTGTCCTAGCACTAATCGAAGCCCAGGAAATCATTGTAATACCTTTAGTTTGGGCTGTATTTATTTGTGTGTGTGTGTGTGTGTGTGTGTGTGTCTGTGTTTATAATATAGTTTAGAAGCTAGAAATATAAATTAATAACTTTTTTTTGGAAGTTTTTGCTATAGGGCACGTGAACTTGCCAGAAAGCAGAGAGAGACAGAGAGACAGAAAGCAAGAAATGACCCCTTAGGGGGAATGACCACTCCGCTATCCCTTCTCCTCCATTCTCCTCTTGAGATCTTGGGCACACACGCACCCAGTGTAAGTTTAAGCCACCGGGTCTGGGACTCGAACTGTGGTCGACTACATGGGAGTTCAGCAATATAGCTATTATGCCAACTGCTGTCACCTAAATTAAGAACCTTTTAACAACAGTTAAGAGATACTGACCTCTGACTGTGTGCTAAGCCTTATATTAAGTACTTTATGTGCTTTATCTCATTTAATCCTCAAAATGACCCTGCCTAAAATTGGCACAGTTATTATCCTCACTTCTGTGCGTTAAGAGAAGTTCCACAACCTTCAAGAGGGTATATAGCTTGGAATTAATGAACTCTGATGTTTGAGTTGAAGCAAACTGGTTCTAGGTTTGTCCTTGAGTGTACTGAGATAAATATAATACATGATAAGAGGAAACCTTAACCAGTGCCATCATTTAGCATAAATCTTAGCTTTCTGCAATTTATTTTATGGAGACTATTGATTCAATAGTAATTACAATGAC